AAGGGTGATTTCTTACTTTCTGTCAGTCTCTGTCTCTCCAGCAAACACATGCACCCTATAGCAAAAAATCTCCCTAAAAAGAAAAAAAGCTGTATTTCCAAAATTGATCTATATTCAATATAACTCAAATTAAAATTCCAACTGCCTTTTTAGCAAAAATAGGCTGATCCTAAAATTCATATGCAATTACAAAGGGACCCCGAGTATAAAAACCAATCTGGAAAAAAATAAAGTTTAAGGACTCAAATTTCCTGACTTCAAAACTTACAACAAAGCTACAGTAATCAAAATGCTATGGTACTGGCTTAAGGACTGACATATAGGTCAATGGAATAGAAGTTAAGAATCTAGACACTTAAGGTGGCTGGCAGGTGGCATGGGGGGTAAGAGCGCTGGACTCCCACATGGCTAACCATGGTTCAAGTCCCAGACCTGGCAACTTGCTTTCTCACTTTGTCTCTCTCACTCCTCTCTCTCTCACTCTGCCCTGTGGTCAAATTAGAAAATAAATGAGTAAATAAAGTTAAATAATTAAAAAAAAAAGAATCTAGAAATTTATACAGATATCTATGGTCAACCAATTTTCATCAAGGATGTCAAGATCACTCAAAGGAAAAAAGTCTCAGGCCAGCAGGTGGCGTAGCAGTAAGGCTCTGGACTCCAAGGTGGCAGACCACAGATCTTGTAGCTTGAATACCACGCCAAGTGTGTGTGCTTGTATACCCAAAATCCTAGAAGGAGAATTGAAGACAAAGGACTGAAGTGTGGCCATTGGGAGGTGATTTCTCACTTTCTCTCTCTCAGTCCCTCTCTCTCCCACTCATTCACTCTCTAGTGAGTGCACACACTCTACAGCAAAAAAAAAAAAAAAAGAAAAAGAGAGAAGAAATAAGTCTCTTCAACAAACGGTGTTTGGAAAACTGGATTTCCACACGCAAAAGAATCAGATTCAACCTTTACTTCATACATGATACAAAAATTAACTCAAAATGAAATCCAAGACCTACATTTCATAGCTAGAACTATAATACTCTTAGGAAAAAAATAATCATAAACCTTCAATATCTTGAATTTAAAGGAGTCTGAGCCATGGGACCAGCGGTTAGCATAATGGCTATGTCGCTGGACTCTCATGTAGTCGACCACGGTTTGAGTCCCGGACCCGGTGGCTTAAACTCATGCCGGGCACATGTGTGTGCATGCCCAAGATTCTGAGAGGAGAATGGAGGAGAAGGGATTGTGGCATGGCCATTCCCCCTGGGGGGGTGATTTCTCGCTTTCTGTCTCTCTGTCTGTCTGGCGAGCGCACGCGCCCTATAGCAAAAAAATCTCTTTAAAAAAATAAAAGGAGTCTGAGCCATGACAACAAAAGCACAAACAATTAAAGAAAATAGTAAACTACATCAGAATTTAAAACTTTTTAACATGAAAGAACACTATCAAGAAATTAAAGACAGGACTGACTCCATGGCACAGAGATAATGTGATGGTTAAGCAGCTGGATCCCACACAATAGCATTTTGAAGACCTGCCCTGGTCAGTCTGAAACACAGCAGGCACAAGAGCAAGTGCCTAAGATTCACAGGACGTAGAGCTAGAGGAAGGGGATCCAAGAATAACAAGACCTTATGGAGGGTGCCCCTCCTCCCTTTCCTCTCTCATTTGTGTATGCACTCCACCATAAATAAAGAATAAACACTGGGAACCAGCAGTTAGCGTAATGGCTATGTCGCTGGACTCCCACGTAGTCAACCGCGGTTCATGTCCCAGACCCGGTGGCTTAAAACTCACGCCGGGTGCGTGTGCGTGCGTGTCCAAGATCCCGAGAGGAGAATGGAGAAGGGATTGCGGCGTGACCATCCCCCCTGGGGGGTGATTTTTCGCTTTCTGTCTCTCTGTCTCTCTCTGTCTGTCTGGCGAGCGCACGCGCCCTACAGTGAAAATCTCTCTCAAAAAAAAAAAAAAGAATAAACATTTAAAACATTAAATACAAATTAAATACAACCCACATAATAGGAAATGTTTACGAATTATTTATCAAATGAGGATGTAATACCCACAATTTAAAACTCAACAACAAAGAGACAACAACCCCGTCATACCAATAAACACACGAAAAGATGCCTAACATCATTAGTTATTAAAAAAAAAAAAAAAAAAAAAAAAGCAGATGTGGGGCCAGCAGATGGCATGGTGGTTGAGGCACTAGACTCCCATATCGCTGACCACAGTTCAAGTCCTGGACCTGGCGGCTTTCTTTTCTTTTCCTTTCCTTTCTCTCTTTCTCTCTCTGTCTCTCTCTCTCTCTTCTCCCCGTCCCACCTAGTGAGCACATGTGCCATATAGTAAATTTAAAATAATAATAACAATAAATTATTTTTAAATGCAAATCTGCAGCCAGCAGATGGTGTAATGGTTCTATCACTAGATTCCCATATGGCCAACCACAGGTTGAGTCCTGGACCCAGCAGCTTGAAAACTCACACCAGGCACGTGTGCATGCATGGCCAAAATCCCAAGAGGAGAATGAAGGAGAAGGGACTGCAGCATGGCCATCTCCCCTGTAGGGTGATGTCTCTCTTTCTATCTCTCTGTCTCTCTGGTGAGCCCACACACCCTATAACAAAAGTCTCTCTTAAAAAAAAAAAAAAAGTAAATCAAAACCACAATTAAATACCACTATTGGGTTATCTGAAAAGTCATGACGCATTTTTATATAGAAAAACATGCCATGACTTTTCCTATGACCCAACAGAATGTGTATAAGTTTAAAAATGGAAATAACGGGACCAGCAGGTGGCATGGTAGTTAAAGTGCGAGACATTCGCACATGGCCAATCATGGTTCAAGTCCTGGACCTGGTGGCTTGCTTTCCCACTTTCTCTCTCTCTGTGCGTCTCTCTCTGATCAAAATAAAGTAAATGAATAAATAAAATTAAAAATAAATAATTCTTTAAAAAAAATTGGAAATAACAAGTTTGGTAAGGATGTAGAGAACTCAGAACACTTGTCCCAATTTGGGACCATTGCAAAATGGTAAAGCTGCTGTGTAAAACAATTTGGTGGTTCTTCAGAAAATTAAAATACTGAATTACTGTATGATCCAGCAATTCCATTCCTACATGGATATTCAAGAGAAATGAAAACATATTTCAGCACAAAAGCTTATGCACAAATAATACACAAACAACATTGTTCATAATTAACAAAACTAGAAACAATCCTTATGTCTACCAACCAATGAATGGATAACCAAAATGTGGTACATCCATACAATGGAAGATTATTCTACCATAAGAAAGAATGAAGTACTGAAACATGACCACAACATGGATAAACTATCAAAGCATTACACCGAGCGAAATAAACCAATATAAATGCAAAAGGTCACAGACGGTTCCATTTCTATGAAACACCCAGAACAAGCAAATCTACAGAAAGAGAAAGAATACACTAGTGGTTTCCAGGAGACTGGGCAAGAAAACGAAATAGTAATGACTGCTTTATGGGTATAGGATTTCTTTCAGAGTGGTAAAAAAGTTCTGAGGCTGGTTATTGGTATAGCAGTAAAACGCAGGTCTCTGTGAGGCTGGCCCACATAAGAAAGGTTCCAGGTTTGTGTCTATAGACTTTCCAGAATATGCCAGGCACTCGAGTGCCCATGATCTTGGACTGACTAAAGCAGGAGATGGATCATGGCATCAAGACCTGTTGTTGGTTCTGTCTCTCTCACTCCTGAATAAACAAACAAACTTGCAGGGAAAATAAGTAAATGTCCTAAATTATATACTGGTGATGGTTGTTAAAGACTATGAATGTACTGGAAGTCACTGAACTCTATACTTCTGATGAATAAAAATGATGAATTTTATATTATTTGAATTTTACCTCAACTTTTAAAAAAAGAGGTTGTTTCTGGGCAAAGAACTTAAGGTATGCAAAGAGGAGAGGGTTTGTTTTCTCATCCTTAATTATTTTTTACTACTAATTATTCTATTAATATGTTCCAAATAGTCTCAAAAACATAAATATGGGGCGAGCAGATGGCGTGGTAGCTGAGGCGTTGGACTCCTACATGGCCAACCACTGTACGAGTCTAGGACCTGGCAGCCTGCTTTCTCACTTTCTCTCTCTCTCGACATCTCTCTCCAGTCAAATTAAAAACTAGTAATAATAAATAAAATTAAATAAATAATTATTTAAGAAAAGAGGAAAACACAGGTAAAGGAACACAAACTGACTTCTCAGATAAGTTAAAAACATCAAAAGTTGGGGCTGGCAAGTGGCATGGTGGCTACGGCTGACTAGTTTGAGTCCTAGACCTAGCAGCCTTCTCTCTCTCTCATACATACTCTGTCCTTCTCTGGTCAAATTAAATAAATAAATAAATAAATAAAATATATATTATATATGTACTTAAATAAAATTCTTTAAAAAAATCAAAAGTTACTACTAGATCATCAGAAAAGTCATGATGCATTTTTGCATAGAAAAATATATTTTTATGCAAATATTTTAAATGCATATTTTTCTATGCAAAAATGCATGACTTTTCTGATGATCCAATATTAACAGGGAAATGGTGGAGATCTGGCCGGTGAATTATGTCCTGAATATTATTCTTGTTCTCTCTAAGTGTCTTTCTTCTCTTATTTATGCTATGGTACCATTATAGATACAGTTCACTGACAGTAATTTAAAACTTAGGGAATTAAATTATTACATAAGTCATAAATACTTTCTCCTTTCAAATAATAAACAACAAATTTCAAGTGATAATAGTAACAATAACGAAAAACTGTATTTAAATTTTCTCAGAGAAAAATATTGTAGTCAATTGCTCAATAAATATTGACAGTACATATGCTATTAATAGATTTAAATTTCCTGAGTTTTCCTCCACTGGAAGGTGTTAGATGATAAATTCAGTATTAAAGTGTTCATTAGTTTTTATTCAAATGTAAATTTCACATCGTACATATGAAGTGTATCATACTTACTTATCAAGGAAATCTTTGTCCACCACAGCAGAGATGTCAAGGAGAGGATTTCCCATTCCAAAGAGAATATTTTCACTAAGAAAACAAAATCAAAAGACAAGCACATGTTAGAAATACTTCCGAAAGGAAGTTCAAATATAAAATATACACAAATACAAATATCATCATTTCATTCTGAGAATAAACTTAACCTACTTTGATTTTCCTATTGTGTGTTAAAAAAAAATTTAAAGGTAGTACAAAACCACATTAAAAAAACTGATGACTTCTAAATAGGATAAAATATAAGATACCAGATCACATCATTTTTTTTATAATATTCAACAGTTAATGATAGAAGCTAATGAATTAGAATGTACTTCTTTTACAAAGGAATATAATACCAGAAAATTTTCTAATACCAGAAAATTCTGTACCTGATAAATATGACTGATAATTAACTCTAACAAAATATTCAATTACTAAAAGTTATTAGGGAGCATGCAGCAAATCCTGAAGGACTTCAAACAGGAGCACTCCCTTAACAAACTGAGAAGGATTGTTGTAGGCCTTCGCAATGGCTATCAGAGATGATATATGGGACAATGTCAATTATGGGACAGCCCATGGCATGCTAAAGGTAACCCATGGATTCCACCTGGTCTATTGCCAGGTTTGAGTCCAGGGCACACACACTCTCTAGGAAATCGGGGGGGGGGGGGGCGGGGGGGGCAGGGGGCTTTTTTTTTTATTTTGTGTTTTTTTGTTTTTTGGGGTTTTTTTGGAGAGATTTTTGGTATAGGGAGCATGTACTTGCTGGAGAGACAGAGAGATATAGAGGAAAAAAGTGAGAAATCATTCCCCAGGGGAATGGTCACACCACAATCCTTCTCCTCCATTCACCTGTCAGGATTTTAGGCACGCACACACGTGCCTGGCATGAGTTTCAAACTGCGAGTCTGGGACTCAAACCACGGTGGGCAATGTGAGTCCAGCACCTTAACCACTGCGCCACCTGCTGGCGCCATGCATTTTACTTTAATTTGCTGGAGTGCACATGAGCTGGCTGGAGAGAGACAGAGAGAGAAAAATAAATGAGAAAGTACCTCCTCATAGGAATGGTTGTACTACAATGCCTTTACCTCTATTTCTCCTTTTGGAGGCTATTGGGCACGCCATATACAGGCACCTGGCATGCTTTTTTCAAGCTGCTGGGTCCAGGATTTAAATTGTACAGTTGGAAAAACGGGATCCAGCTGCCTCAACCACCACTCCACCAAATCACAGGCTGGCCCAAGAAATATACATATTAAGATCACCAAAATATAGTAACTCTTCAGCCTTAAAAGGTTGTAATAGATAAAACCGATTTTAATCATAAGGCCCGAAAAAGACTGCCTGTAAATCCTCCTCCTACACTGCCTGGAAAATTCCTACTAATCTTTTTGAATGTCTTATATGCTACCTCTCTTTGGAAACCTTTTCCAACCAACTCTTACTCAAGGGCTACCATGAAAAGTTGCACGAGCAGTTCCTTGCACTACTCTGGAGAGGGTGCTATTCACAATGTGGATAATGGCTTCTGAATCTTGCAGTCAGCCACATGGGTTCCAGGCACCTTCCCCACCATGCTACAGGCTGGCCCGATACTGCATGTTTTAAAGTTTACCTCATCTGATATTAATACGGTCACTAAGCTTTCTTCTGTTTAGTGTTTTCCTGGTACATCTTTTTTCCAACCTTTCATTTCCTTTCTCTTCTGCTCTCTCTCCCCAAAATAAATTCATTCCCTAGCGCTCAGGTCTAAAAGTCTTTGTACTTCATCTCAATCAACTGATCTCAGTTAGCTAGACAAGAATGTAAAGATTTTTTTTTAATCTCAGTAATTGGGTTGTTGGAAAAGTCATGACATATTTTCACAAAGAAAAAAAATACGTCATGACTTTTCTGACAACCCAATAGATTTGTATTCCCAAAAGCTAGCATATGATGATCACACCGGCTTTGAGTGATTTTGTGATTATGCATTCTGAACTTTCCTAACAGTTTGCTGGTTCTCTCAGGCTTCCATAGATCAGGACTAAATTTAGACTAAAGTTAAATTTTAACTTTTTAGGAATAATTATTAATTTTATTTTTTAAATTTGCTATAGGGCATGCATGCTCACCAGAGGTGGGGGGAGAGAAAATGAGAAAGCAAGCCACCAGGTCCAGGACTCGACCCATGGTCAGACATGTGAATGTGAAGTCCAGCACCTTAACCACCATGCCACCTACTAGACCCTAAAAGTTAAATTTTAAAAGATTCTTACATGGAAGATGAAGTAACATTAATTCAATATGACTTGAGATAACACAGTACTCGCTAAAGCAATCATTAAATGGTAATACAAACAAGTATAGCTAAAAATCAAACAGAGGGGCCAGTAGATGACCTAGCAGTTACATTGCTGGTCTCCCACATGGCCAACAGCAGTTCGAGTTCCAGACCCGGTGGCTTGAAACTCACACTGGGCACATGTAAGTATGTGCCCAAGATCCCAGAAGAAGAATGGAGGAAATGGGATTGTGACATAGCCATCCCCCCTGGAGGGTGATTTCTCACTTTTCTTCTCATTGTCTCTGTCTCTCCTGGTGAGCATACGTAACCTAAGGCAAAAATTCTTTAAAAATTCTTAAAAAAAAAAAAAAAAAAGCCAAACAGAATATATAAAATACTAACATATACTCAATTAAAAAAATAATGGCAGAAAAGATGAAATAAAAAATACAACAAATGGGAAACAAAAAGATGATAAACTTGAAACCAACTATATTAATAATTACATTAAATGTACTGGGGTTTAGCACTCCAATGAAAAGACAACGATAACTATATGGTATGAAAATTAAAAAAAAAAAAATCAAGTTAAATGCTACACTTTCAGGGACAAGCAGTTGACATAATGGCATTGTCGCTGGACTCTCATGCAGTTGACCGCGATTCGAGTCCCGGACCTGCTGGCTTAAACTCACACTGGGCGCTCGTGCATGAGTACCCAGGATCCCAAGAGGAGAATGGAGAAGGGACTGCGGCATGGCCATCCCCCCCGGGGGGTGATTTCTCACTTTCCTGGTTTTTCGGACGAGGGTACATCCCCTACAAAAAAAAAAAAAAAAAAAAAAAATTCTCTCCAAAAACAGATACACTTTTCTTACATTTTTTAGAAAGATTTTTGCTATAGGGCGCAAAAGAGACAGAGAGACAGAAAGCAAGAAATCATTTCCCAGGGGTGATGGCCACACCACAATCCCTTCTCCTCCATTCTCCTCCTGAGATCTTGGGCACGTATGCACACACGCCCAGCATGAGTTTTAAGCTTGACAATGTGAAGAGTGCTGTCTGTCTCTCACTCTCTCACAACAACTTAAATGGATCTCAACAGCATTGTGCTGAGTGGAAAAGAAAAAATCATATTTCACAGGATGACAGCCTATGCAATTCTATTTACAGAACATTTTCAAATGGGCAAAATTATAGAGAACTAATCAATAATTCTTGGGGGATTAAGGTTCAGGAGGAGGCATGGCCATAAAGAGATAATATGGAGGAGTTTCTCTGTCATTACAAATAATCTGGTGAAATGCGGTAATAGTCACATGAACTTGAACAAATAGTATTTTACAGAACTGAGGCTGGCAGGTGGCATGATGGTTATAGCACGGGACTCCCACATGGTCAACCAGAGCTCGAGTATTGGACCTGGTGGCTTACTTTCTTGTTTTCCATCTCTTTCTTTCTCTGTCTCTCTCCGATCAAATTAAAATAATACTAACGGTAATAATAAAACTAATGCTTTATTTAAAAATTATAGAATTATACATATCACAACTTCAACAACAAAGATTATATACAAAACCTGATGAAATTCTTTTTTTTGGAAAGGTTTTTGCTATAGGGCACATGCGCTCACCAGACAGACAGAGAGAGAGAGACATAGAGACAGAAAGCGAGAAATCCCCCCCCCCGGGGGTTGGTCATGCCACAATCCCTTCTCCTCCATTCTCCTCTCGGGATCTTGGGCAGGCACGCACATGCGCCTGGCGTGAGTTTTAAGCCACCGGGTCCGGGATGCGAACTGCAGTCAACTACGTGGGAGTCCAGCAACATAGCCATTACGCTGACTGCTGGTTCCCAAAACCTGATGAAATTCTAATAAGGACTACAGTCAACTTATTGTACTATGCCAGATGGTGGTGCAATGGTCACAAAACTGGTCTCACACGGATGGCCCTGGATTCATACCCCAGAGCCTCGTGTATATACTGGGAACCTATGTATGCCTGTAGTCTGAGCTGGCTGTGACTGGGAGTAGATCACAACGTGAAGATCCTGTCTGGGATGTGCACCTGTTTCACTCTCAGAATAAAAAGTAAAAATAGTTTTACACCAATATCAATTTCCTGGTTTTGGTAACATTCTACAGTTATTTAAGATATATCACTGGGGGCCCAGCAGGTGGCATGGTAGGTAAGGTGCTGGACTCCCACAAAGCCAACCATGGTTCACGTCCTGGACATGGCAGCTTGCTTTCTCACTTCCTCTCCCCACCCCTGTCTTTCTCTGGTAAGGCAGCAAACTAAAACATGATAATAATGATATATAAAATTAAGTAACTGTCTTAAAGAAAAATATATGTCACTGGTGAAGTTCAATGAATAGTATACAGAAACCCTCTATACCATTTTACAACCTCTTGTAATTTGTAAGGTATTTCAAAAGAAAAGGGGGAAAAGGATATAAAGATAGATACAGGACCAGGTGGCCAGGTGTAGTGGTTAAGGCATCCCACATGGCTGACTGCAAGGTTAGAGTCCTGGACCTGGTGACTAGAAAACTGTATGAGTACATGGGCATGCATGCATAAAAGGAGAATGGAGAAGTGACTGCAGCATGTCCACCTGCCGCTTAGGAGTGCTTTCTCACCATCCCCCTACAATCTACCTTCAGAGAGCAGATCCGCCCCACATTAAAAAATTTTAAATAAATAAAAATAGGAGAGGCCAGTAGTTGGCATGGAAGTTGGGGCCCTGAACTCCCTCATGGCCTACTATGG